TGTGATAGCGCCCGCGGTGCAGACACAAACAACAGCGAGGGGAGAGCCGTCTCCCGTGAAGCAGGCAGTTGTATTGGGCTTACACCACAGAGGCAAAAGATGAAGTGAGCTACAAGCTACAGGAGCTATCCCCATGTCTACCGGATGTGACTATCTATATAGCATCACTACCGGAATGGAAGGATAGAAGGATATACTAATCCTACGACTAGTATGCAATACAGAAGCCCTTACAACATGTATCTTCACACGGCATCTCCAGCTGATCGCAGCTTGCATTGGTTGGACATGGCTTAGCCTTTGATCCACACACAACACACCCCCCAAGCCATGGCCACCGGGCCAGCTGGGTACAAATGCATATATACAACATCAAGTTATGCATTCACCTGTCGTCGGAGCCGGCGGTTGATCGGGCCCGTCGGCACGTGACTCAACACACCGCTGGACGACAGTTGGAATCTTCTTGTGCATCTCGTGGAGGCTGAGCCGCAGCGCATCCACGTATGACATTCTGGACACGCCAGACTTCACACCCCAATGTGGCACTGGCCGGGCGATCTGCGCCCACCTTGTCCTGACACTCCCCGATCCCAGCGAGAGTCGGCCACACCAAGCGATCATCGTCAATCGGACGAAGCGCTTGAAATTGGGTAGTTCTTGTAGATGAGCCCCGACGGCACTTGTTCGGCCGAATTTCGTCTACTTGAGCTCGCCGCGATCGCGCGGCAGTAGAACGACGCACCAAAACCAAAGACGTCGCCGGGCCGCGGTGTCCCCACCGACTCATCATGTCAGTCCACAAGTTGTGGATACCATCAATGTGCTCGATGACGTAGCGGAACGCGCCCATGATGCCCGCCCACAGCGCCATCTTCCCACGAGGGTACGCCTTCCACTCCTTGTCAGGCGCAAAAATGACTTGCTGCGACTCGCCCGCGTTCATCGGATACGGGATGTCGCAGCGAGCCTTAATGCGATCCGGGTCGTGCTTGACGCCATCAGCGTTGAGCGTGCGCCCACACCACTTGACCTCGGTGTAGAAAAACTGGGCTTTCTGAGGCACCAGCTTGATCCCAAACTGGGCCACCATGGCCGGCGGGTCCCGCGGATCAAACGCCGTCCGCCAAACGTCATGCTTGGTGACAATGCGCCACAGTCGGTTGCGCATTTCGGCAGGGAACCCTTGAGCCGTCGCCTCGTCGATGCTGATCTTCAGCCCAGCGACGGCTTCAAACGGTAGACGACCAACCACCGCCTCCGAGGCTCGAGCGTCCACGACGCGCCGAGTCTCTGCCGTCGTCGACACCGGTACCACTGGGACGCCACTCGTACCAGATGTCGGGCGGGGGGGAACACGTGCACATGCATCGTCGTCGTCGTCCGTCGCCAGATCGTGGCCATCGTCATCAAATTGACGAGCCGCCAGCTGCTCGAGCAGGCGGTCAATGTCGATACCAATCGACTTGAGAGTTGCATTGGACAGCAAGAACTCCTCGCCGTCGTCCACCACATAGCACGTCTGCGCCCCGGGAATGTTGACGGGGCCAGCAGCCGTCTGGATCTGCAACTTGATGTCCACGCTGTCCTTGGCGGTAAAGCCATTGCCGTTGCAGCCCATACAGTGGATTGGAGTCGCCAAAGGCTTCACACGGATGTTGGGGCACACCGCCGACAACTTGTCAACCATCGACCGCGGGATGATGTTGAGGTCAGCACCCGTGTCAGGGCAGTAGGGCACTTGGAGCTTGCTCCCAAGGGTTAGCAGGTGCGTAGCCGACGCACCCGCCATAGCACGGAACGTCTTGTTCTTCTTCAACGTCTCCCGTATGATCTTGCCCTTCTCGTCCTCGTCCTTGACGGTCGGGCACTCGTGCACCGTGTGGCCCTTCTCCTTGCACGCCCAGCAGGTCTTGTCCTTGGCACCGCCCTTCTTAGCGGCACCACCCGGAGGATCACCTGGCTCGGGTGCAGCGGGGGAGTCGTCCTTCTCCCCCTGAAACGGCTCCTTGCCTTCGTCGAGCAGCTTGCGCGCCTTGACCGCGTCACGCTCAGTTTCATCGTCTTCGCGGTCCTTGCGCTTCGCCCCTTCCTCAAAAGGAGAGGAGAACTTCTTCGCTTCCATCAGCGTCGTCAAGTGCTTCTCCAGGGGCTTGGCGTAAGCGCACAAGGAGTCGAACTTGTGGATACGAAGCATGTCCCGCATCTTCTCGCGCAGCTGCACGGGTTCAAGTCGGTCCGTAATGGTGCTGAGGATGATCCGCCGCGGCCCTTTGAGCGTCATGTCTTCTTGCAGGGCATGCGCCTTGATGATCTCGCTGACGTCCGTGATGAAGTTGGCCACAACCTCAAAGACGTCGTCCTCGACCACGTGTCCAATCTTGAGCTCCTTGAAAAAGGCAATGTAGTCCTCGGATGAGTGCGTGTAGTCCTTCGGTCGCTCGCTCATGATCTCCATCAACCGCCGTTGGAACTCGTTCTCCTTGAGCCCGTCGACGTCGATATTCCATTTGAGCGTGCACACCGTCTCCAAGAGACTGCGCTTGATCGAGTCGATCCACTTTTTGTTGTGGACCTTGACCGGGACACCGGTCGCCTTTGAGTGCTCACGCATGGCCTTGTCGTACTCGTCACGCTTCTCCTTCCACTTGATCAGGTACTTCCTTCCCAAGCTCTCGATGGGCGGGAAGTCGATCGTCGAGACCATGAAGCCAGTCCGTGATGGGCCGTCGCCGTCCGTTGACCATCCGGCCAGCGCGCCCTTGGTCATTTTGCCGAACGCCGGTTCGAGACTAAAGTATACTTTGTGATAGCGCCCGCGGTGCAGACACAAACAACAGCGAGGGGAGAGCCGTCTCCCGTGAAGCAGGCAGTTGTATTGGGCTTACACCACAGAGGCA